CGTAGTGCCTTGAATTGTGCAATGCCTAGCCCATGCGATTTGCAGCCGTCAAAGTTCAATCCGTAAAAGTATCATGCAAAATACTTGTCAGTTCACGGGGTCCCTCCTCGCGGGCGGTCAGTTTCGGGGGGATATTCTCAAAACTTTCTGAGTTCCTCCTCACGCTCCGAGTATATCGGCGCAGCAGTCAATGACTGTTCCGGTTGTATTTCTGAGGTGTGCCTTCTTGTGTTTGTATATGCCCTCGTTCAAAAATTATTTCTCCTCTTCACTTGTTTGCTATTTCTGTCTTAACAGTTGTACCTTCTGTGGGAGGTCAGTTTTGTCGTCAGGCGATTCTCGCTCGTAAAACCATGTTACAAATGAAATCTTCCAACTCTCTCCTGGAAAGAAACATGCGATCGAAACTGTAGATTCAGCCGCTAGGAAATCTTTCCGCTGATTTGGACGGCGCCCGTAGTTGATATTTTAATTACTACTATACCACTGTGGCTATGATTCTGTAGCAGCAGGATGACCGGTAAAATACAGTGATAATGAACTGGTGCTGGGAAGAACGGTCGTTGCGGAAAGTTGTAGTGGGAATTTTTTGGCGTATCGGTAACAGAAAGAGGGGAAGAGTGGGCTTTTTGGTGCTTATGGCTGCCGTCTAAATTGAGCATCTATGTTGTGGACAGTGAAAATGAGAAGCACCATTATGCATTAGCTAGCGCTGATAGAAGTACTGTTCCAACGTGAAAACTTGCGAATCGTGGAAAGGTTGGAGTGAATAGTTTCTGTTCTGGGAAAAATCCTTGTCCCTTTTGCGAAAAACGCCGCTGGGTCTGGAAAGTAACGTCAATTTGCTGTGACAGGGGAACGATGTAGCAGGCACCAAGGTTTCATGCGACGACTGATGGTCACAAAATTTCCCTTGATGGATGCTATGAATTGGACCCGAAGTCGTTCTTAAAATGCGGGTTTAGGGAGAACTGGCAGCCAACGAGCTAGCCCATATCAAAAAGCAGTGAAATGTGAGAAGTAAATGTATAAATTCGATACTACTGCAGCCTCAGCCAGGTCGAATCAGTCGTTAGTGACTGCCAATCAGGCACTGCGCCGTGAGTTAGCTTTGGCCCGAGCGAAGATAACACGACAGCAGCGCATAATTACTGAACAAGAAATGCGTATCACGAGGCTGGAGACTACGGACGAAAATGAACGCACCAGTGTGATCGTGCGCAGCCGACTGCGGGTTTGCTTTGAGATTTTGCTACTCACCGGACATAAGAAGCGGAAAATCCGCCGCATGGATTTCAGTTCTTTTTAATGTCCTACCTCTCTCCCAGATTGCTTTCTCAGGGGAGGAGGGGAGGTACAAAAGAGCATCTGGGGACACTCATCTTTGGCTTCTGCTTTTTTATAGAAACTGCTGACAGAGAGCAAGTTTCCCTGCTGGCAGCTCCTCTCGCCACAGACTGTCTGAGAATCAGCCTGAAACAGTTGCAGCTGCAATCGTCCTGTCCTTGCTGACGCAGCAGTTCTTTAAAAAAGCAGGAGCTTGAAAACCCGCACGCTGACTGAAAGAGGGGATAACTTTTAAATGAGCACCAGGATGTTCAGAACAATGAGAATGCGTTGTCGGGATTGGTAAGTACGGGAATGCTTCAGTTATGCATAATATAATTAAAAATAGAGTATATTAACAATGGATGAAAGAAGAGGAATAATAAAACAAGGTAGGAGATGAGAATTGCAAAATTTGTAAATTATAAGAATTATTTACAAATTTGTAATTTATAGAATTGTTTCGGTTTATGCATACCACTTTGTTTGTGTATTGCAGCAGCAGATACGCCATCTGCAGGCGATCACGGGACGTACCGTGAGGTTCCTGCAAAAAACAGTGCGCGATTACGAAAATGCTGCGGACTGCACTGCTCAGGCTATGGCACTGTATGTATCCTTATTTCTATTTGTATTTTGCGAGCAACTTTTCCCACTCGCTCCCTCCTCCCTCCTCGGCCCGCTTCACTTCCAAATTTCTACTAGGATATTACGCTGCTGCTGCTGCCGCCGATCTCGAAATATTGCTGCCTGCTGTAGCGTTTTGCTAGTCGCGTTACGTTGTAATGACTTAGTTCTGTCTTTTTTGCCTGTTTTAGCCTTATAGCTAATATTGCTCCCCCCTAATCTCTTCTCAGGCTGAGCTAGTCGTTCGCTTTTGCCTCCGGCCTGTCCGAATATGGAGCATGTTATTTTGTAAAATGCGGTAATATTTTCAGGAGCAATTATATCAGTCCTAGGGAATACGATGCGTTTACGCTTTCGCCCATGCCGGTAAGTGCGTCTTGCAGCTCTTTCTCTCCACTTCCTTATCTCATCCGGTTATTTTAGGCATTGTTTCAGGAGAGGAGCGCGTCGTTATCGAGGTCCCCCTCACTTGCAACAGTCGTTGAGGTGAGTTCGTTGCTGATGCGTACGGTTGTGTCAGTTTCATGTTGTTGTTTGTCGGCTGAGATGGCCGATCAGTAAGTTCATTCGAAAATGCCAGCAATATGAATTTACCTAAGCCACTTCCCTTATTACTTTTGACCTATTAAATATCACTCTTTATATTTCAGAGTACCGTTGATGAAGCGATTGAGGGAAAACCGGTTGCAGTGCTCTCTAGTAAACACGTCATAAACGCGAATGGCACTGATTTTGAAAGAGCCGGTAACAGTGTCTTTTTCCATCATTTGTGAATGCGACGGTTTGGGGAGAGTCCTTCCCACTGAATTGAACATGTTGATTTTTAGAGCCGTTTATAATTATCTGTGGCAGGGTGTGTTGTGTTGCAATACAGCCCACGTGGCACCGCTCTTTTGGGCAGTTTTCTCAGAATAGCCGATGCATTCATCATCCGAGCATCGTGCACCGTTCTGAAATCTGAGGTGAAATGCACTGAAAATGATTCATCGTAAAAAAAAAAAAAAAACAAACGCAGAGGAGCGAGATTAGCTGAAGATGGGGAAATGAACTCAGCTTATTGGCTGAAAAAAAAGTGTGAGACAGATCCGATGCTACTGAAATGCAGCCATATGTCGGACGCTATTGTTCCAGGCCGTCCTATCTCCAGCTACATGCCTGTCGTCCGTGTTGTGATGTATGTACACAGTTACTGTATGTTGAGCCTCTATTCTCCAGAAACTGTTAAATGACTCCTAAAAATAGTTTATGGTCGGTCTAAATTATTGGAAACTGAATGTCTGAAGTTCTGGCAGTAAACTAAGGAGGAAGCGAGAAGCGGCGCTGTGCACCCGAAATTTCTAAGTTTGCAGTAACATGTTGGATTTTTTAGCATAGGTCATGACTGGCGTGTTCGGCTGGTCTGATTGTTGCATTCCACACTTTACAGATTGGATTCAGCAAGCCACTGCTGGATTACTGCAGCTGCTTTCCCGATCTTAATGCCTTGACGAGCTATCTTTCCGTCCCAGTGCATTATCTTAGTTGGTTGCTTTTCCCTAGTCAGTGCTCGTTTTTCTGGAGTGAAAGGGTGAGGGGAGGATGGGGGGAAGCGGGAAAATTGCGAGATCCGTTGCATCCCTTCCACCACTTCATTTCACCCATGTTTGTTTTTGTGAGTAATGCGTAAGAGACATTTAGTTTGGAAGGGAATGTGCCTGGAATTAGTCGTGTAAGAGTCTTTAGCGCACTTTTGACGATCTAAAATGATGCATAAGTTTACGGCAGAGATCCCTGTTAGTAAAGGTTACATAAGTTAAGCGAGAATTCGTGTTGAAAGATTTGGCGTTTTCGATCAAACTGCTCTCTCTCTCTCTCTGTTAATTGAAAGTTGACTGCAGTTTTCCGTCCTCATAAAATCTTCCATTTATGACCTGCGATTCAACTGAGTTGTTTCAGCTTCCCGAGCAGAGACAGCTGCTGCTGCTTTTAACACAGTGCCAGAAAATATTTCGGTCGAAATTCATGCAACGAATTTACCGAAGCATCGATTGGATCAGGCGTCCGCTGCAACCAGTGACGTACTGGTTTCTGATAGTGAGAAGTGAGTATAGAAGACTGTTTACTGTTTCGAAATTGCTTCTGATACCTATATTAGAAGTGTTTGATTTCAGAGAGCGCGATGAAGCAGGCAGTGGCATTAGTTCTGAATCATCGGAGAAGTTCCATATTGATTGGGGTCAATTGGAATATGTGACCTGTCGACGTGGGCATCAGACCGATAATGCCTGCAAAGGAGAAATGCCGGACGGCGCCAAAAGTGGAGGAGTGCGCCCGATCAGTCGCAGCCCCAGGTATGCTTAATAACTCCATTTAACTGATTAGAGTGAAAAGACCATGAGTAGGGGCAGAATCGTCAGCAGCTGTCAGTTTCGACGAAGAGTCTAGCTGGTAAGTGCGATCCGTTAGGAAGTTCGGCTTGTTCGGTGATATCTGGCCAGTCGCTGGGTGTTATCAGGACAAAGATAATAAAAGAGCCTGCTATTACTGTTACACAAAAGTAGCAGTCAGCACAATTTGCTTATTAGCTCAGTCATTCTGAAACGGTTTTAGATACCTTTTTTAAAATTACGCTTGATTTCAGGCGACGCAGGACGATTCCAGCATCCAGTACACGATCTCCGGAATCTAGCGTAACGCATTCTCGTGCTTCTCACACAGCTGCGTTGGACGCTGAAAATGAAAAACGCAAAAGACCAGTGCGTGCAGCGGCAGCTCGGATTTCTTCCTTTAAGGAACCTACCCTGCGTAACAAAATGCGCAATCCAAAGAGAAAGTAGAAGTTTATAGCGATATCAAGGATTGACTGGTCTGAGACGAACTGACTACCCAAGCATCAACTGATTTGAATGCACGTGGTGTGTGTGTGTGCGTAAATTAGTAGGGTTTAAGATTATTTTGTTCTCTAATGATTTAAGAGGACCTGAATTATTTCAAAAGGAAATGACTGTACTGGAAATTGATTGATATTATTCTTATCCGGTCGAATCGCTCGATAGCCCGATCCGTAGCCCTTTAAACATTGTTCTACACCCAAATATTTGTAGACTTCGGTGGGAACCAAGACTGGCAGAGTTATGCATATAGAAAAACGACCTGGAAAAAGGCTAGATTAAAAATGAAACATCTAAACGGGAATATTCCAGTCCATTATGTGGTATGAGTGCCTCTTCCCAGGCTCCCGATGAATAATAAAATGGAAAGATCAGTGTGGGTATGTCCCGTTAGTGACGATGCTGTAACGATGGTCGGGTCGCGGTCTGGCTGTGCCGGTGAAACAGTCGTTTACGATAAAATGGAACTTACACGTACTGAGAAGTCGGAGATACCAACAGTTTGCTTGTTTGCAATTACCAGAAGCAAAAGCCGTCACCAGTCTTGCCAGTGTATAATTCTTGCTGAGATTATTTGTTATACAGGCCACCTGTGAGTGCCTCTGCTTTTTAACGGAGCGAATTATCGAAAAAATTGTGACTCTGCCCTTTTGGCTTTAATGATTTGTTTGTCTCGCCATGCCGTTTAATCGTGTTTCCCAGGCATACTGATTGTTGTAAAGAAAATTTTGCTTATTGCATGAATTCTCTTGGTCTCTTTCATGTGCCACTCCATACATTTGCTCTCAAGGTGGCGTCCACACGACGACTGCATCAACTTGGCATGCACTTTACACTGCGTAGAAATGCAGAGCACGCTTTGTGCCAAAATAAGGCCTATCTAGGCTGAAATTTAATTTTTAAACAATGAACAATAACAAGAATAATTTAGGCAGCAAACGGGATTTGGTAAGGGAGGAGTGTAGAGTGGAAGGTACCCGCCAATGGCGCGTGCAGAAATTTTCTTCAAACTGGCGCGGTAAAGGTGAAGTAATCGTGGCTAGCCTTACTGCGACTACAGTGTGGCCGGATAGCGGAGGTATTGCCTTTGGGACTGTAAAATACAATTTCAAATGATCACTAAACTTCTCATCACTCGGCATCGTCTCGACTGCGCGAGCTCTGTCTTCGACGAGTGCTTCCTAGGAACGCCTCACGCTGTACTTCAACTTTTCTACCAGTCCATTCAAGTGGAATTTCTCTGCCTGCTTCATCGGCGTCACACCGAAGTGGTCGGCGCTCTCCGGGTCGGCACCCCTTTCCAGCAAATATCCTATCAACTGCTCATTGCCCATTTTGACGGCCTGCAATATTCACTATTCTGAAATTTATCCAGAGGGAGGCCCATTTTCAGTAATCTTGGCTTTTTTTTTTCGGAATTCAAAATTTTTACATAAACAGCAACGTACGATATGCAAAGCAGTTCGGCCATCGTAGTCCGGCTGATTCACATCAGCACCGGCGTCCAGCCAGGAACCCAGTGTCTCGGAATCGCCGCAGCTCGCACACAAGCACAGCTCCACTCCTAAAATGCTTGAAAACCAGAGCACTTATAAAGTTGAGAGATGCAGCAGACACTTATCCAGAAAAAGCAGTCCTCAGCAAGCAAACGCGCAAACTGTACTAACCAAGTCTGAGTGGATTAACAGATAGCACAGCGCCAGCCGCTCGTAAGCTTTCGATGCAAACTTTATTTTTCGTCCTTACTGCGTCCACAAGAGCATTCTCGTTCCAGCGGTCTCTGCAATCCAGCAACCGATTAATCACTGTAGACAAACTGCGCGCAACAACTTAACAAACAAATGCAGTGGAGCACCACATAATCTAACCATCCGAATAGCTGCCTATAGGATTCTCTAATGAGAAGACAATAAATGGCAACGCTGGGCGAGGGACATGCTCCGTGGTTCCCGAGACACTGATTTTACCCGAATAACTTTTACGGGGCCACAGCACAAAACGCATAAAAAATGTGAAACTCCAAGGTCGAGGGATGGGCTTCGGCGCAGCAACGAAATCCGCAGTAACGACTACTTCAAGCGAAGACAACTTCGAGTTGCTGAAGTTTAAGCAACAATTGCTTTGAATTAGTCCATTCTAACTTAAGAGAGCAAGCACGCGGATTCCAGCTTAGGCAGGACCGATTTATGGCGCAACTTTTTTTAATAAACGCAAAAAGCAATAGTGTAAGGCTAGAAGGCATCAAGCAGACAGTCGGCTGAAGTTGACACTTCACAACGAAAATCTTACCGTACATGAACACTAACACCTTGCTTTAGTAAGTACTTCACTGCGTTAACATGCCCTGCACTAGCAGCTACATGTAGCGCGCTGCGACCGCTGTAATCAACAGCCGAAAGATTTGCTCCATTTTCACGAAGTCCCTCGAGCAACTCGACGTCACCACTATTCGCTGCATGGCAGAGCAAAGGGGGAAACAGGGCATTGCGAAGGAATTCCACTTCATGCGAGGTACTCATATGCAGGAACTTCGCCATCTGTGGCACTAAAAAAGTTATTTTTGAAGGAGCAAAATAAAAACATTACTGTTAGAGAGGCAGACTGTACAGATATAAATAACAAACTGGAAAGGTCAGGCTGAAAAATTTTACAACAAAAGTATATAAAATATGTTAGCAGAAGCGCATGTCTCCCGTTTCATTTTCCCAAAAATGCAAAATAAAAGGTGTGAATCAAACTGATTCGTGGGTTCTTTCCTCGACAACACACTATCGTTGTATCGAGAGCTCCAGTTTATTCAGTGGTGCCATCCTATAACTACAGGAAATCCTCAGCAAGCCCTCGGTCTTTGTTTATTGATCCGCTGCTGCAGACCTTACAGAACACCACGGCAGTTACTGGAGATCGTCATACACATGTGTATATTCCCCTCCGAAATATGTGTAAAAATGGCAATATAAAAAGCAGGTGAAGAGGAAACAAAAGAAACAAGAAGTCAGCTTAACAAAGACGCCGAAAATTCAACTCAGCAGATGCATGAAAACCAATGGGCCAGCAGTACGAAGTATCAAAAATGTACCAATCTCGAGGTCATGCAATGGGTCCGGCTGAGTGATGGTTAGCTCGCCCCTGATATTTTTTGCCATCACTTTTTTCCTCTGCGTATGATTCCACGAATCTTTGCCCAACACGTAAGATAACTTAGTCAGTGCCGCTTCTGCAGTCATATCCGAACCGGGAATAACACCAATGTCGTACAAAATCTAAACATAAGAGAAAAAAATTGGCCAACGCACGGGCTGCCCGTGCGAAGATGCGTTTTTTTGCAGAGTTCCCCGCAGT